TGTCTGTACACTGTCTGTACACTGTCAGTACACTGTCTGTACACTGCCTGTACACTGCCTGTACACTGTCTGTACACTGTCTGTACACTGTCTGTACACTGTCTGTACACTGTCTGTACAATATCTGCACACTGTCAGTACACTGTCTGTACACTGTCTGTACACTGTCTGTATACTGTACACTGTCTGTACACTGTCTGTACAATATCTGCACACTGTCTGTACACTGTCTGTACACTGTCTGTACACTGTACACTGACTGTACACTGTCTGTACACTGTCTGTACACTGTCTGTACACTGTCTGTACACTGTCTGTTCACTGTCTGTACACTGTCTGTACACTGTACACTGACTGTACACTCTCTGTACACTGCCTGTACACTGACTGTACACTGTCTGTACACTGTACACTGACTGTACACTCTCTGTACACTGTCTGTACACTGACTGTACACTGTCTGTACACTGTCTGTACACTGTCTGTACACTGACTGTACACTGTCTGTACACTGTCTGTACACTGTACACTGACTTACACTGTCTGTATACTGTACACTGACTGTACACTGTCTGTACACTGTCTGTACACTGTACACTGACTGTACACTGTCTGTATACTGTACACTGACTGTACACTGTCTGTACACTGTCTGTATACTGTACACTGACTGTACACTGTCTGTACACTGTACACTGACTGTACACTGTCTGTACACTGTCTGTACACTGTCTGTTCACTGTCTGTACACTGTCTGTACACTGTCTGTACACTGTCTGTACACTGTCTGTACACTGTCTGTACACTGTCTGTACACTGTCTGTACACTGTCTGTATACTGTCTGTATACTGTACACTGTCTGTACACTGTCTGTACACTGTCTGTACACTGTCTGTACACTGTCTGTACACTGTCTGTACACTGTCTGTATACTGTCTGTATACTGTACACTGTCTGTACACTGTCTGTACACTGTCTGTACACTGTCTGTACACTGTCTGTACACTGTCTGTACACTGTCTGTATACTGTCTGTATACTGTACACTGTCTGTACACTGCCTGTACACTGTCTGTACACTGTCTGTACACTGTCTGTATACTGTCTGTATACTGTACACTGTCTGTACACTGTCTGTACACTGCCTGTACACTGTCTGTACACTGTCTGTACACTGTACACTGTCTGTACACTGTCTGTACACTGTACACTGACTGTACACTGTCTGTACACTGTACACTGTCTGTACACTGTCTGTACACTGTCTGTACACTGTCTGTACACTGTCTGTACACTGTCTGTACACTGTCTGTATACTGTCTGTACACTGTCTGTACACTGTCTGTACACTGTCTGTACACTGACTGTACACTGTCTGTACACTGTCTGTACACTGTCTGTACACTGTCTGTACACTGTCTGTATACCGTGTGATTATCGGCGTCAAGTGATATCAAACTCTCGAACTGACCAGAAACACGAGCTAGCCAATCATCTTTATGTACAAAGGGAAACAACCCATTAAAGAGATCTTTATATCCAGAGTTATCGCTCTGTCATAGATAGGGGCAGAATGTTTGTAAATATCAAGATAATTGTTTTTGTATTGATTTAATTATGATACTATATCTACATACTAGTTATAAATAGAGACAAGGGTGGATCAAAAAAATCTTATTCAAGTATTTAAATGCAATTATATTTAGTAATACTGTTAATTTTTTGCAGTACTTGTATCTGTCGGTATATATATATATATATATATATATATATATATATATATATATATATATATATATATATATATATATATATATATATATACATATATGAGTTTATCAGTATTGTTTATTGCAACAGAAACTAGTAACACAAATTTCTATTCATTTATCATTATGCTATAATTTAAAACAAACAGTATTTATAAATGATGTTTTTTTTTCATTTTTAATAGATCATACACTCATAAAACATTCATTGAGATATTTACTTATCAGTTTAACACACGCTGAATGTACACAATTCCGCAAGGTTCGTCTCATTCGCTTACAACATTTTGTTTCTCTCCTACCAGCTTTAGTTTGTGTTTGCTGTTTTGAATTTCCCTTCGGTTTGAGATCCGTTTTCTGTCTGGGTTTTGAACCCTGCCGGTGAAATACTTCTCCAAGAAATCCCGAGCCTATGACTGAAAAATCTAAAGTGTGATACAATTTTTAATGTTGGACGTTAAACTAATGAATGTACAGACCAAATCTAACCCTCTAGATGTTTATTCTGGGTTCCACGATCTCAGTAAAAAAAATTTCCCAGGACAAATAATCTAAAGGACAAATGATCTCACAGCAAATATTTTTGTATTTAGAATGATTTATGTCGATCCGTACAGTTTTTATTTACTGTCACACCTTTTATTTAAAAGGTTTGTCTTATTACCTTAAACATTTTAAAATTACTATTAATAATAAAATATTCAATGATTAAAACTAGTTTTCGGCAGACGTCGTAGGTAGGCTCGCCCATCAGACCAAACTAGGTGGACACTAACTAGACCAATGAGGATCGCACATCTATTGACATAAGTGCTATGATAACACACCTTTGTAGCAAGGTGGCCGCCCACTTTGTTGGCTGAGACAGGCCTAAGGGGAGAAGACATCCGCTCTCTATGGACAACACAACTATCATATAAAGTTTATACCTATATTTCAGTGAAATGTTCTTATTTAAACGACATTGGTCATGGCGGGGGGGGGGGGGGGTTATTAGTTGCTTTCATGCAAGTTAAGCAGTTTCAGTGATAGACACAGAAGAGACTTCTTTCGCTACATCGCCGAAAGAAATCTGTACTTACAAGAAGTCAGATTGGCGCTAAACAACAGCCAGTAAAGTAAAGTAAATGTTACTTTAGCGTTGATGAATCAATAAAAACAATGGTTTTATCTTTCGAATCTAACAACCCAATTATCTTATTTACTTTCTCGTATATACGAAGTATAGAGAAAGTCTTGTAATCGTGCAAAAAAAAAATCGAGATTTTTACAAATCTCGACGTTTTACACCTCAATTTTGCAATCTTGTCCGTATCTCTGTGTGTCTGTTTGTGTGTGTGTATGTGTGTGTGTGTGTGTGTAAACACGATAACTTGAGTACCGTTACAGCTAGGTTGATGGCATTTCATGTATAAGTATTTTATCAAAATCGTAGATCCTGATCAGCTTTTGAGCGATTTCCGATAACCGGAAGTGGTACTTTTTCTACTTTGAACTTTTCAAAAGCCTATAACTTGAGTACTATTTCAGATAGATACATGAAATTTCACATGTAAGTAAAAGATCTAATTCTCTACCTTCTGTCAAATTTTGAGTAATTTCCGTTGACCGCAATTACTAATTTACGCTATTTCAGATTTCTCAAAAAACGCATGTAAATTTATAAAGTACTAATACGATTGCGCACTATTATGCACATTTTGTTTTGGCGTTCCCTTGGTGCGCAATTCTTTTTTCTATGAGATTCTATTCTATTTTTAAAAGTTTAAGTAATTAAAAATCTTGTCTATATTCCAAGTTATATAAGAATATTCGAGAAAGTTTAGGGGAGATCACCCCCGGTTTATTAAAAAGTGTAACATGTAATTTGAAAATTAATGCGGTATAACATCTGTGACCTGATGTTTATACATGTGGCCAATGTTTGTACCAGTGGCCAAACGTCTTGTTCCTGTAAATATATTTTCCTGTGGATGTGTGCTTCGTTCCAGATATTTACATCTGTGACCTGATGTTTATACATGTGGCCATTGTTTGTACCAGTGGCCAAACGTATTGTTCCTGTAAATATGTGCTTCGTTCCTAGAGCCATAATCTTTGTCACTGTGGGCTAACCGGATGTTCATACATATGACCAGATGTTTGTACCAGTGGCCCAATGTTTTATTCCATTGGTTGGAAATCTTACTGCCGCTTGAATGTCGAGCTAGATTGTTGTGAGTACTGATGCGTATTCAAAGAAGGATTTAAACCGTGTTTGATTAGTGGAATCAGAACTAGTGGTGATAACATTTACACGTGTGATTCTGAGATTACATAAGTAGTGCAAGTAGTGGAGTTAGGACTAGAGGAAATGACATTTATCTGTGTGAATTCTGAGTTGTGTAAATGTAGGTTTGTTACTCACACTTAATTATATGTTTTCTATGAATTAATGTCAGTAACCAAGGTGAATATTTAATTTCCGCATTGAAATGGTACTTTAATTATTTTTGTCTTTTGAACTTGTATTAAAATTCCAGTGATGTTTTCTTGAATATAAAAGGCGGGCCATGTATTATTTGTATTGTTTCTTTTGCTTTCAACATATGAACCTCTGTGACGTCTAATGAAAATAAATAAATGTATTGAACTGTATGTTCATAAGTTTTATTTTTAGCTTAATATTAATGTTGTCTTAGTGTGCAAATAGTTTGCTCAGGTCTGGTATACCTCCTTGTACCAACGAGGGTGCGCGGATAAGTAAATAAGATCACCTCTCGGTAACAAACCCCCCTTACACAAAAATCAACTAGCCACTCCGAGCTTTAAAAAAAAGTCACAAGTAGAGGAAGTAAAATATTTCAAACAGTTAGGCAGCATTGCCTATGACGAAAGAGATTATACCAATGAAATTAAAATACGTATATCTAAAGCCAAGCAAGTGTTTGCAGCCATGCAAAAAAAACACGGCGATTGAGAAAAAATCTCCTCCTAGACTAAATGCAGACTTTTCAAAACTAAAGTACTTAGCGTCCTACTGTATAGTAGCAAATGTTGGAAAGTAACAACCGCCACCAGCAGATAACTGGATTGTTTACAAGGTGTTTGTGAAAGATAAAAGACAACAATTAGCCTAACACCATCTCCAATGATAGACTTTTAGGAAAAGTGAAAATGGATTAATGATTAATGCATTGTGAATACTGGATACATTGCCATTATCGTTATACAACACTTGAAAACAAAAAATCAATTTTCTGATTTATTTTAATGAAACATCCATCGACATGTCAAACTTTCTGAAATTTAATGTTCCAAACATTTCATCTATTCTGAAGACTACATCAGCTGTTATTCATTTTTTTCTTTAACTTACAGAGCAATTCAACCAGAATATTTCAAGTCAAAGCTATTCTGGAGTCATGCCGAGCCTGCATCAGCTGTTATTCATTTTCTTACGTTACAGCGCAAGTTACTTAGAATATCATGAGCATCTGTGAAACGAAAAAAAAATTATTGGATTTTGCAAACTTCGACGTCAAGCTTAAAACAATTTAATCCTAACCTATACTTTTAAATATGCATATCATAGTGTCATTGAGAAATTTAAAAATGAACAGTATCTTTCACTTTGGCAAACTTTACCATGTAGTATAACATTTGATTCACGTAAACCACTGTTTTTGGGGGCGACGAGATGGTAAAATGTGTGATAGATATTATCAGACATATTTTAAGTGTCTAATTTTATCATCGAGCATGACATACTTCACCGTTTACTCACTACAATTTTACTACTTACATTATTCGATTTTACAATGTATAAATTTAACTTTTACAATATTATTTTTACTATTTACAACGTTGTACTTTACTATTTAGAATGTCTAGCTTTAATTAACATCCACAAGTTTCTTACGCGTTATTGAACCGCAATTCCTTTTGCCGGTATTTCGATTGGATAATTCCTGGAAGTTTTGACTGGTAGGTGCTGAGAAGACTAGAGCAATTGACGCCAGCAGAATGGACAGTAGCAGCAGCTTCATGATGTCGATTATGACTTTGGGTCGTCACAAATCTGTGTAAGGAAACAACAAACACAATCTACGTTTGTTTAGGCTTTAAAATAACCACGAAACATCTACTATTTGGATCTTGATTGTACCGGTCTGATAGGTTTGTAACACATATGGTTACCAGCTAGGGGAAGGAAAAATATGAAGTTTTAATTCATTGAGTTGCGGCCCCTGTGGGGTCGTGGTCCTGTTGACTTAGTTGTTTTTTCCGTGCTCTTGTGAGCGATGTTACCTGTGTCCCATGTCATGTGACATGGGACTGTGGGTGGTTTCATGCCTAGCCGTGTCAGTCACACGCACGGCTGCTGTCTGTGGACACGGTGACCAAGATGTAGACCTAATGAAGGTAGTGTAGTTATTTAAATTATGTTTGTTAAAATACTTATTTGTGTATTCCTGCTAGTGCTGCATGTGCACATTAGTTAGGGTGAGTAATAATATAAGTATTTATTTGTAGTACTACTTATTGGTACTTGTTGGCAGTACTGTGTACTGGCCGAAACATATTTTATTGTACCCGTGTATATTGTAGCCTACACGTGGTGTTGTCGTGAATGTAACTTTTTATTTACATTTGTTTTAGGGCTACAGTTTTTTGTTTTCTTGGTTTCCTGTTGCATCAGTATTTTCTCTTTGAAATCGTCGTACTACTGTGTTGCATCGCCGTCATGGCTCGATGCTGTAAATAAAGCGAGTACTTGACAACAACTGTCGGTGTCAGTGTGTTCTTAATCTCAGGGTCAGCCCGTCTTAACCACAACACCTCAGTGGGTAAAAGCATCCCCACTGAGTGAGGGTTACAGGTTTTTAAACAAAGTTTAACTAAAAAGTTTACAAATAGCTTTTTAATTTACATAAGAAATCGAACAATAGTTTGAGAAAATGTAAAATATTATGCTTATACAAAATTCAAAACTTACCACAAATAAAACGTGCGTACAATTTAGTCGAGCTGTGCTTTTGCAGCTTACTCTGGTGCACCCTACAACTCAATTGTGCTGAATCAACGGTTTATATAGCCCAGACTTAAATGGCCCATCATATCACATGATCATGTCACAATTAGGTGATTGAACACCTAACACTATTCAAAATTGCGAAAGAACATAATATAATACCATTTATACATTGGTCTATTGTTGAGAGAAAGTAGATAAAATTGCAATGGGTGGTACTTCATAGGGGTAATGTCGAGGTTGGAATCGGGGTAAACTGGGGTGGGTAGGGGTAGAGGGTTGAGTTAAATGTGTGGGATGGAGGACACGTTGTAGTTTGCTGAAAAGCTGAAAGAGGACAAGATGCGGTTTGTGTATAAGTGTATGATCTTTGGTTGAACAAATCTCCTCATCCTGCAAAACGTTCATACTTTACATACAAAGATGGTTTAAATGAATTTTTCCTTCACGACGCCTGACTGATAGTTCAGTATTTTTCTTCTCTTAAACTAATGTCTCCTTACAACATACATACAACATTCAAGCATTTACTGCTCCACCAAATAGTAATTACTTCAATACATCAGATAAATATTATAAATATCCCCTTCTTCCTAAAAATATCATGACGTTTCCTAAAATCGTCTACTTCATCTAAACATACCTACCTCCTTCTCCAAACATCACCTACTAAATCCAGATATCAACATTCAAAAACATCACCTACTTACAAACTTCTCCGAACATCACCTACTTACAAACTTCTCCACACATCATCTGCTTACAAACTTCTCCAAACATCATCTACTTACAAACTTCTCCAAACATCACCTACTTAGAAACTTCTCCAAACATCAACTACTTACAAACTTCTCCAGACATCATCTACTTACAAACCTCTCCAAGCATCACCTACTGCCCCCAGACAAACCTCTCCAAACATCACCTACTGCTTCCAAATATCGCCAAACTTAAAACAGCATCCATATGTTTCAGACATTGCCTGAAAATAATTATGGCTTGTATCATGACCTATTATTTTTCAAATAACGCTATTATCACTCGTTATTTGATAAATTAATTTCACATAGTTAAAGCTAGGTTGGGACATGTGAGCTTCAATATTTTTAGCAAACCGCCCCAGGTGTTTAATTAGTGTAAAATCTGAAAATTACCAAATAATTTTCGTGTGATTGCAGCCTTATTGAGAGATGTGTGTTGTGCGATAACAAAAGCATTGTGCTCTGCTATAGAGTTTTGTTTTGCCAAGATAGAGTTTTGTTAGAATGTATAGTCATAATTAGCCAAAGTATTTGGCCAGAGTTTTGTTTTTGTTGGCAATTTTTTAAAATACATTATAATATTTTGCACAGCCAAGGATAAAACAAATCGCCGCAAGTGTAAAAACAACAAGCTACTAAAAAGCTACACAAATGTATTTAGAGACGTTAATTAATTTATTGACATATTCGTTGGTTGAAACACCAGTTTAACTTAAAAAGTTCAGAACAATAATTTTATTAATAGTAAAGTTACTCGATACATTTAAGCCTTATTACTTTCACAACAAACATGACTGCTTCCATGGAAGACAATGTTGCCCATCCAAAAGTTTAACGCATTATAAAGCTAAATTTTCTATCGGCTATAGCTTTAACGATACGTCTCTTTGCTACTTAGATTAGGTTCCAACACTATTATTGATTTTCAATAAGATACGCTGGGCAGTTCTTCTAATTTGAGTCTACAGTAAATTTATCTAGTCTAGATCTTGATATTCTGTGTAACCCGCACCCCCTCCCCCGCCTGATGACGCAAATGGTCGTCATCACACGTTATTCAATAAAATAATCTGACCTTGTTAAAACTAGCTTAGGAAATTTGATCTAGAATAATGTAAGTAAATCGTCGCAGGTGTTCTGTTGGTGCGAACTTTAGCATTGCCCAATAATCGTCAAATGTTTTCCAGCTCACCGTGAGGTGTAAACGTGTTTTTGTGTATGAGTACTGAGTCGTGATCTTCATATCTGTTATTTTAACTTAAGACATCGACTGTATTAGGTAGAGAGACTTACTATACAGACATATACATTGCATACAAACTACACGAATTGTATATTACCTGGTAAATCGGAACAGTAAATAACAAAATAATTAAGAACAGAGCGAAGGAGATTTTTTAAAAACCGCAGTAGTATAGAAAGAGTCGAACAAAACAATGTTTGCAAAGCTTTTGTTTAGGGAGTTGATCAGAATATAAAACGTAACTGAATAGAAAAACAAAACAACATAGAACACAATTCAATCAGTAGATAAGCACACCGTTTTGCATGTTTTGCGTGGCACATGAAAACAGAAAAGAAGCTGTTTAAAAATGAGTAACTCAGTTGTTTTATATTTCTGTTGTTTTCTTCAATGTTTATACTAAACACCAAGAAGTGGAATTTGAACCCACGCATATGCCATGAATGCCGAGCGTTAGAACACTCTTCCAGCCCATAAACTTATATTGTAATTAATTTGATTGTATTAGGCTGAAAACTTTAATAAACAAACCAATTTACTTGTTAAAACTTACAAGGTATGTGAATGCATCATGAGTTTAGTTTTAACAATGGATTCGAGGTGTGTCAAGTGAGATTGATACATTGAATATGTTATTGTGCTGATACACGTTATGATTATCGTTTGATATATTGTATGTAAGATAGTACTTGCATCACTGGGTAGGCTCTTTAAATCTTATAGAGACGATTTGCTTATGTCTGTGTTAGGTATTAACTCGGGTTTTTAAATTATGTCTGGGGTGGTATCATTATGTTGGGTTATGTTGTCTGTATTGTGCTTGTGTCTTGATGTATGCTATCTAATGTGGTTTTATTATGTTGGGTTATGTTGCCTGTATTGTGCACGAGTCTTGCTGTATACTGTCTGGTATTATTTCATTATGTTGGGTTATGTTGCCTGTATTGTGCACGAGTCTTGCTGTATACTGTCTGGTATTATTTCATTATGTTGGGTAATGTTGTCTGTATTGTGCACGAGTCTTGCTGTATACTGTCTGGTATTATTTCATTATGTTGGGTAATGTTGTCTGTATTGTGCACGAGTCTTGCTGTATACTGTCTGGTATTATTTCATTATGTTGGGTAATGTTGTCTGTATTGTGCACGAGTCTTGCTGTATACTGTCTGGTATTATTTCTTTATGTTGGGTAATGTTGTCTGTATTGTGCACGAGTCTTGCTGTATACTGTCTGGTATTATTTCATTATGTTGGGTAATGTTGTCTGTATTGTGCACGAGTCTTGCTGTATACTGTCTGGTATTATTTCATTATGTTGGGTAATGTTGTCTGTATTGTGCACGAGTCTTGCTGTATACTGTCTGGTATTATTTCTTTATGTTGGGTAATGTTGTCTGTATTGTGCACGAGTCTTGCTGTATACTGTCTGGTATTATTTCATTATGTTGGGTAATGTTGTCTGTATTGTGCACGAGTCTTGCTGTATACTGTCTGGTATTATTTCATTATGTTGGGTTATGTTGTCTGTATTGTGCTCGTGTCTTGCTGTATACTGTCTGGTATTCTTTCTTTATGTTGGGTTATGTTACTTGTTGTAGGATTTTATTCTGATTGTGGCGTGATCTGAGCTCGTGTTGGTTGCTAAAGTATCTTGGCCTATGTTGTATGTAGTGTTATTTAGGCTTGGGAACTCTGCAGCGAAATGAGTGCTAGTGGTTTCTGTAGGTTTAAGTGGGATTGTGCTGTCCGTGATGGTGTACGGGTTTATGGTGCTTGTAGCGTTATCAACTAAGGTATGATGTGGGCTTATGTTGACTGTAGCGTTATCAACTAAAGTTATCATTTGGGCTTATGTTGCCTGTAGCGTTATCAACTAAGGTATGATGTGGGCTTCTGTTATCTGTAGCGGTAGCAATTAATGTATGATGTGGGCTTATAGTGCCTGTAGCGTTATCATCTAAAATATGATTTGGGCCTCTGTTGGCTGTAGCGTTATCAACTAAAGTATGAGTTGGGCTTCTGTTGCCTGTAGCGTTATCAGTTAAGGTATGATGTGGGCTTATGGTGCCTGTAGCGTTATCAACTAAGGTATGATTTAGGCTTATTTTGCCTGTAGCGTTATCAACTAGTGTATGATGTGGGCTTGTGTTGCCTGTAGCGTTATCCACTAAGGTATGATGTGGGCTTATGGTGCCTGTAGCGTTATCAACTAAGGTATGATTTAGGCTTATTTTGCCTGTAGCGTTATCAACTAGTGTATGATGTGGGCTTGTGTTGCCTGTAGCGTTATCCACTAAAGTATGATGTTGGCTTGTCTGCAGCCTCTGCCTCAGTGCCAAGTTCAACTTCTTCATGCGGGCGCCAGCCAACAAACGACGTCTGGTGAAGTTATCCTCCCATTGCTTGAACTCTAGCCTTGACCTTTGTAGCACCAGCTCTCTATTGGGATACAAACAAAAGTTCAGTTTTCTCTTTACCCAGCGCAGTATCGTTATATACATTTGATTGGCCAGCCTTAGGGATCTACCTTACAACTCTAGACTACACACCAAGGACGTAGTCCTACATTTATTTCTAAATGATAGGTTTTTTTTAAGATATGTGATGCAGAGTCCATTTCCTATTTCTAAAGAAACCAGAAAAGAAAATTGTTTTTCAGAAATTTTAATTAAATTAAAAGAGTTGATAGGAATAACTTTTTACGGAGAGATTGGCCTTTTTAAGACAGGAGACGAGGTTTGGATTGTGGGTACATGCAATGATAAAGATGCTAAAATTGTATGACTACATACAGCCTGAAGTTATAATGTAGATCTATTGAGCTAAGGATTTGTAAGGCTAAAGGGAAGACGTACCTCATTTTGAATGCGGTCTCCCATTCCCGCTTCTCCTCTGCAGTTTCTGTCATGAAAAGTTCATCAGCATCCAGTTCTGAGTACTCTTTGTTGCCTCCCATATTATATGCTTATGTCCTTTGCTCAATGTAGATTTTTAGCGTGCTGGTATCTTTTATACATATATATATATATATATATATATATATATATATATATATATATATATATATATATATATATATATATATATATATGAGCAATACCCTGTTTATGACTATCTCAGAAAGTAAATATTTGTTTTCTTTCCAAAATGATATTAAAAAATAGTCTTTTCGGAATATAATTTACGACAATATAGCTCAGTTTAGCATATAACATCGCTTAACTAATGAACTCAGTGCACATTCATCTGCACATTTAACCAATGTACTTTTATAGCCTACACAGTGACAAATCTTAGCAAGTAAGATACACATTTTTACAATTATTTACTTACCTAATACCACACATTAACACGAACACACGTTTCAGTAAATCCACGGAAACATATTTTAATGAGTTTATATTTAAAACAACACACTAACACGTTAAATACACACTTGAAGTTGTATGTTATATGTCACGATTTATCTAAGTTACTACTCGGTAAAGAATTTACCAAAGAGCAGCTAACTCGTGTATAATAAAAACAGATCTCCCACCCTGCTAGTATTAACATTGGTTTAGTTCCTTAGTGTCCCCTTTGAAACAATCACGGCTATCGATTTACCCCCCGAACTTAATTAAAAACTTTTGTGTGGTTGCAAGTTCATTGTCTGGTCACGGACGCTACAAAAGCTTATTGATTTTAACTTGTTCCACAGCCAGTTTAGCTGCGTGTAATGTTTAGTGCTCTTCTGAAACAAAACAAAAAACGTAAACGTTCGCAGGCCTAGATGAGGCTTTTGAAAGAGCCGGCATTGACAAAGTTAAGCTGATCTAAAGACAAATATAATAAAATAGACTAAACTCTAGAGATTGTCTCTATTTGGCTTATTTTATTTAAAAACTGAGTTATATTAAGGTTAGATAGTAGAGGTTTTAAAATTAAACTATTTAGTATTAAGTTTGTGATTTAGAGTTATCTAATTTTTTAATAAATGTTATAGAGTTATGTTGATGTATAAACTCACTATTTTTATCAGATATTTATTCAGTAGCCTCCCTTTGCAAAGACAGCCTCACGACAGCAAACTAACAGAGATTAGCCAGCCGATCCTACACTAGTCTCATATTGTATTATGTATTACCTTTGTTACAAGGTATTGCAGATTCTCAAAAGGTATCAATGAATAACTACTTTATGAACCGTAAAATATTGATTATTGATTGAACGAGCAAACAATAAATGGGTGGTTTGACTATAGGCCTATATATATATATATATATATATATATATATATATATATATATATATATATATATATATATATATATATATATATATATATATATTTATATTTATATATATATGTATATATATATTTATATATTGGCTATGTAAAAATGATATTGATATATACTATATACACTGGCATTGCTAGGTCGGGTGTCACCCGGTGTGGAACCTCATGGAACCCTCACACCACCACCAAAGAAAAAAGTATAGGCTATATATATAAAGGCCTATATTATATAAATATGTATTTGCAATTGGTGTGATCCACCCCCCCCCCTTCCACCCCATATTGCCAATGGCGTGAATTGGTGCACATATCATTTTAATCTACTGAACTTTTTCCCCCTGTAAACTTTGCAGTTAGTATTACCCTAACAGCTTAAAGTAAAGAGGTGTATTTATATTCCGTTATTAATACAGCTAGATGTAGCATTATTTTCTATATCATTAACAGGGTTGTGTCTTGGTGTCATCTATATATTTTGCCTTTTTATGTCTTGGTGTCAACGCCACTTAAATGACATCACTCGGTGCGGTCTGCACCTATATATGTTATAGGCGAAGTGTAAACCTGCAAATTGTTGAATACCTAGGCAATGTGTATAATGCCTGAAATGCATCATAAAAGTATTAAGTACATAAATATTTCATACATTCGCTAGTCATTCTATAAAATAACCAATAGCAAACAGGCAGTGTAAAATAAGCTTTCTCACTTGATCTTTCCAGCACCTTTGTTAGGTTCTTGGTTAGGGTTAGGGAAAGTAAAATGCATTCAAAATGCCATTCTTGTCTTTTCTGCTGCAATAAATAGTAACTAATAACATTTCTGATTCCTTTGTTAGCCCATTTATGATTTACTGTTGTTCACTTTCAATTTTGCCTTTCCTTTTGTGACTGTTTGTTGCTAAAGACTTTTGCAAAATGATCATTTTACACTTTGCATGAGCTGATCTTGTCATTCTATACAACACCTTGTAATTTTATATTATACCTAGGAAAAGTAAATAACAGCACCCATATATCAAACTTTCCCTGAAAATACCAGGGATTTTATACATTGCCTAGGCAATCTATAGAATGCCTCACATACTTTGCCAGTAACATATATACTTTATATATAGCTTAAATATAAATATATATATAAATATAAATATATATATATATATATATATATATATATATATATATATATATATATATATATATATATATATATATATATCGCCTATGTATTAATAGGCTTTATATATTATATATATTATTTTTATATATATATATATATATATATATATATATATATATATATATATATATATATATATATATATATATATATATATATATATATATATTTATATATATATATATATATATATACATATATATATATATATGCCAGGGGTCGGCAACCTGCGGCTCGCGAGTGCAACTCTTTTGGTGTCCAGCTGCGGCTCTTCAGCTCCATGCACAAATATTAATAATCATTTTATTTTATTTTCAAAACTCATTAAAATATTAGTCTGTATCACCCGGTAATAAATGATATAACAATAGATATAAACAATAAACATTTACTATTATATTAGAATATTTAGTTACTCCCTATCTCAGTGTACTTCCTATGACATTGTCCATTCCGAATTGAAACATTCAAGTTCATAGAAACTAATCCAGCTGAGTGTAAAACTGAAAGGAAAACCCAGTGTATGTCTTGCTTGTTGTTTTTTTTTAAATACAAGGTGAGCAGTAAATTACTTAATTACGAAAAATCTGAAAAAAAATATCGTTAAGAAACCAATGCTACTATTCAATCACTTCAGCATTAGTATAAACAAAATGAAGGATGTTTTCACGGAGAGATTTGAGCTATTCAAAAGAAATGCAAGTAGTCTGACTTTCATGGTAGATACTCTCAACACAAATTCTAATGAGATTATTTCATATATGCAAGGTATTTATTTTAAATTATGTGTATAATTGTGTATATAGTATATTTGTTTAGGATATATATATATATATATATATATATATATATATATATATATATATATATATATATATATATATATATATATATATTTATAATACAAAACAAATATACTATTGACATAAAAAAAGTTAGTGGCTCTTTAAAAACCGGGTAATGTTGTAAATTGTAACTTTTGGCTCTTTTGTCTCAAAAGGTTGCTGACCCCTGATATATGCCTATGTATACACAAACACGACCATTTTACATATAGGCCTACATCATTTTGCTTATGTTTCAAATAAGCCCTCAGTTTTAAAATCATCTGTCAACTGTGTAGAGTGTAAGTATAGTAAACATCTTGTATGGCAGGTGAGGTAGAGTTTCCTGGCTTCTGTGACCTCATGACATGCTGGATATGTGGATCATCAACTTGGGAACAGTTAATTTTTTCCTCTTTCTTATATACCAGGTGGTTGAATGTTAAATTTTTTATAACATGATCTTGACCTTGCTCCTCACATTTGTTTGAGTGTTGGGGGGGGGGGTGTTTATGGACTTAGATTTAAATAATTATCATTCCAATTTGATTTTATGGATTTTTAAACCACTAAAAAATAATTTTATTTTTTCAAAAGAATAAAAAAAAATGAATCGCCCATCTTTCACTCCTTAAATTAAAAAACAAACTCAGAAGATATTTTTAAAAGAAATTAATATTTTCTTGTAAATTATTACCTAGTTTCAGTTGACTACTGAGTGTATCCACTTTTGTACATGGGTCATGTGATAAAAAAACCAAATAAATTAACAACTTAAGTGGTCAGCATGCACACATTTCTCCTTCATTCAACTTGAATTTCAACCCAATCAACAGGTAGCCTAAGAGATTATGGAAGTCTCCATCCCTAGTAAAGATTTGTTTTTTAGCTTACATTTGACTAAAAACAATTTTTAATTAGCATTTTATTGGTGAAACTGCTGGATTTCTGTGATCTTGTTAAGGCTGGCTTTTGATGTTGTGTTTTTTTTCTTTTGAGCATTTGTTTGCAGATGGTAGTTGCTACTTATATTATAATAGCTAACCACTAAAATGCAAAATTAAAAAGTGTTTTATTTGTAAGACTTTAAGACATGTTTAATGCCTGAAATTGAACTGTGATTCAAGTTAAATGATATGAAATGCATGGCTGTTAAGCTCTATTATTGCACAAATATTTATGATAAAAAAAAAGGTTAAGTGAAGAAAATAAATAAGAAAGCCAGGAAAAAAAAAATTCGTATTTACAACAAACAAACGAAACAAAAAAGAGCTGTTTTATTTTTGTTTAAAAAACACCCAAATCAATTGAAACAAACTCTTGGGGACGTGTTCAATACTAGAGACATATCACAAGTTGGGCACAATTTTCATCACTGCGTGACTGTTGTGTACAGTTGGACTGGCGTTTCAAATACGGAGATGTGATGAATGCAAAAAAAAATAAAAAAATAAAAATAAAACTGAAATTGAAGCTTATTCCACAGATGTTCTCTTTCATTGCATTTATCCTTAGCATCAATTTACCATCACTATCAAATCATAAATAAACAGTTTCAACTAATGAGGTGGATTAGGCAAAAATAAATTGTTAAAATATATTTCTGTAGGATTTTGTGAGTTTCTTAAGAGTAGATACAAGAGCTATTTTGTTATTGGTTTAAAAAAACACTGAAAAATGACATGATATTATACTACTATTGCAGACAAAAGCAAAATTAAATAGTAGTTGTAAAATTTACATTGAATAAATTTTTTTAACGCCATCCAAGGTAATGTCCATTGATTTTTACGCTCTTATGCTGGCTTTGATTCGCTGTTTGGTGATTGTGATTTGGGGGTTCAAGACGAGTTAGTCTATTCTATGCAGGATTTGGCGTTGAGAGATTTTATTGTACAAAAGAAAATTTGAAGAGAATATTTTCCTATAAACCCTGTGGAAGATATTTGAAATTTTTTTAAACAAATCAATATATACATTTTCTTAATTTCGATTCATTAAAATATTAAACAGAAGGTTGATAAAATGTACAATATACAAAATTAGTGCATTAATACTAAATAGTATTTGTAGGGGAGATTATGTTTTTCAGATAATTTTTTCTAAGGAGTATTTTTATTTAGGGACATCTTTGATAGCTGACATTTTGTCTTAGATTACATTTCTGGAAGTGTTGTGATTCAGGGTATTTTATTTTGGATATTGATTTAAGATTTTGACTGTAAGGAAATTGTGAAGATTTTATCTGTAAAGATAATGTTCAACCTATTTAGTCTCTACAATTTTTGGTCCTTCAATATCAAGTTTTGATTTAGTCAATGAAGAGTTTGTCTCTGTATATTTCATATTAATTTAATTTTGTCTAAAAATGATTGATTCAAATTTTTGTCTATGAAGCTTTTATTTTGACAAATATTCTTTGACCAACAATCAGTAAAATCTTATCTAATAGCATTTTTCATAGCTATTGTAAATTAGCTTGCAACAAGAAAACTACATTACCCCAGAACCAAAAAAAAATGTCCTTCCACTCTACTCTGCATCCTCTGCAGCTGGAGAGGGTGTAACCTTGCCGACTCTCTTGATTTCAGGGGGTGGGGGCTCCTTGGCAAGATCTTCGAAAAGAACCATTCTTTCCTTGTATGATCTGTGGTCTGTGTGGCGCTCATACTTACTGCAGAGTTGAATCTTGGGCTGGAGATCATAATAAAAATTAAATTCTGAAGAAATCCAAGGTTAATTGAAATGGATTTGTTTATCGGTGGTCTATGGTAAATTGTGTTAAATTACACTTACAGAAATATATTTTTAAAGTAACATATTCAAGTTAGATTTTAAAATGTTAACTGATTCAAATGAATTAATTCATGTAAACTAAAATTTTTTTTAAATAAAATATTTTTATAATATATAAAAATAGGGTTAAAAAACAGCAACAATTATAAAAATTCTATAAGAATTTTTCAGCAGTAATTAAATAAATTAAATTATATAAACATTAAACATTTTAAACATTATGAATAGTTTATGTAATAGTTGAATAAAACTTAAAACAATATTTAGAATTATTGCGTTATGTAAACATGCTTTGCCAATAAAAAACTACAACTTACTGGAGCACTGGTAAATTTATCAGCCAGACGGTCAAAGCTGTAATGACAAAATAATAAATAATTCATTTTGAACAGTATATAGACCAAACCCCAAGATACACAATAAATCTAAATAAAGTATCTTATATAATAAAAGTTGAGGTTGAGACATTATGTTCATTTAAAAAAAAATTTAAACAATGAATAAAAATGCTACTAGTATCAAATATTATATTTTAAAATATTTATTATAAATTAAATAAGAGTATATCTTCTAGTATTAAAAATGTATGTAAGCAAGGAAAAAAACAGCCGACTAGCTGTAAATTAATCTGGCTAGAACATGGATGAAGAAAGAATAGTTTTTACTTACGACTCATCAACTTGGACAGTGGTGACTCCACGTTTGGCCTTGCCTTTGTTCATTTGCCTGGCACGTTCAGCCAGCTCAATCATCTTGAGGGAGGATTTAAAAAAATGTTATAACTGATTTTAATAGATAATACATATATAAATATATAGATGTATAGATACTGGAAATAATTTGTATTAACTATGATAAAAAAATATAATTTATGTTAAAAAATGAAATTATTTTTTTTTACATTTATTTAAAAAATAATGAAACAAGTGTATAAAGATCTCATTATTGAGCATACATCATATTGTTGTCTCTTGAAGCGTTGTTCCAGGTCATATTTGTCACCCTCAAGACGCTTGATGTGATCGTTCAGTTCCTTTGCTTTCTCAATAAGCTTGTCAGATGCCAATCCTATAAAGTCATTGATATGATAAGTGTCATTAGTGTAGTTCAACTTTTTTTAAAACAATGTTTTGGTTAATTTAAAACATTGAAAATATTTTTTTAATGTTTAAAAAAGCACTATTAACTGTTTGGTTTTTTTTTGCCAAATATTTTACATTTTTATTTTTTATTTTAACAAAATAATTAGCTAAAATGTTTTAAACATTTGAGTTATTTATTTCACAGCCATATATATATATATATATATTAATTATAATGTCTATAAAGACTTACACTAAACACAGTATAAAACTCATAAACAGTTACAGCTTATTATCCAAACCTGCCCTAAATCATCATCTTAACTCTAACAAAGATTGTAACAAAATTATGACTCTAAAAGTTTAGTGGATCTATCTTCTTCTTCGTTTTTGATTTTATTGTTGGAAGAGATTCCCTCCAACACAATTAAGTATACATGTCAACTGGTTATGCGCCATTGACTCCGATTTCTGCCTGCTTTTCTTTTTGGATTTGCTTCCATAGCCTTTGTCCATCCAAGAACAAGCAACAAGGCAGCAGTTATTTGATTTTGGAGTTGTCTCTCCTAGAAGAGCGGCTGTCCCCACGTAATGAGCCTCATCTGCCCATGGGTTCGAACTTGAGACTTTTTGGTTTAGCAACCATGAGCTTTACCGACTCGACCACACTGACCTCTGGATTTATAAACTTGAACCATACAGAAACTCAAAATCCCACCCTAACCTGAAATATTCCCCTGACTCTAGCACTAATAAAATATCACAGAACATATAATCAAAGAGTTGTAGAAGTTCTCCCCCTTACCATCAATGCTGAGAGGCTGGATGCGCTGAGCCAGGATTGCTTGCTTCTCCTCTTCCAGCTGTTCCTTAGACTTCTGAAGCTCCTCTTTGCTCATGATAGAATCCAACTAAAAGTTTCGGCACATAAATTTGAAAATCTTTGAGTTTTAGACACTAGCTCGTTAGTTCTTGTAGTCTCAGCTCTAATGAGTTTTTTAATTAATATAATAGTTGTGTGTGTGATGTGTTTTTTAAATGTCTGCTTTGAAAAAAATAGCAAAATAATATCAAAGGAAAAGAAATATGAAATTGTTTTTATAAGTTAATAAAAGTAGAGGAATGTGTAAAAAAAAAAGAAGTCTAAGAGCTATTGGAAAACTATATCTTCTAAAATAATTATAGTGACTATGTCTAAGATAAACATCTTAGAGTGAAATACTGAAAGAAAAATATTTAATTAACAGTAAACATTATTTAATGCTATTCTTTAAAAAAAAAAAGTCCGGTAATTAAATAATTAAAAGCAACGAGTGTTATTGAACTTCCTGCAGTACGGTAGTAGTGTAATTAACCAACAAACAATTGGTCTTATAAGCATTACCCTTTGGAAGAAAATAATCAAATGCTTTATTTTGTTTTCTTTCATTTTTGAGAACTAAAATTGAATATGGTATTAATCTATTGGATACATTAAAAATGATAGTTAAAAAATTATTCTTTTTAAATGAATTTTATATTGATAACAAGAGGAGATTTCAATGACGTTGATAACTAAATGTAAAGCTTGAAGCATGTGTTAGTCTATATATATATATATATATATATATATATATATATATATATATATATACATATACATACATACATATATATATATATATATATATATATATATATATATATATATATATATATATATATATATATATATATATATATATATATATATATATACATATAAATAAATAAATAAATATATATATATATATATATATATATATATATATATATATATATATATATATATATATATATATATATATATATATATATATATATATATATATATATATATATATATATGAATATACTACAGGCAAAGCAAATCGTGCATTAGAATTGTTAGCAACATAATTGAAAAATGAGAAGTTTTAAAAATATATTAGTCCGGGATGATAAAAAAAAATTGTATGAGTCCTATGATGTGTAAAATGAAAATTATAATGTTTTTTATACAAATTCTACTTTTTGTCAAACTCAATTTCCATTACAATCTAAAACAGAAAAGTATATACTGAAAAAACTGTTGACGAAAATTCACAAGATAACACGCTACATAACAATTAACTAGCTTTTGTAAGTAATATTTTATAAATTATTTCATACATAGCCATTTTTATAAATAATATGAAACAGATACAGCCACCTTCATGTACATGTCACTAAACTTTTGGAATATTGAATTTTTATTTTTATTTTCAAAGAGATATGAAAATAAATTTAAAATGTTGTTGAATTGTGAACAGAATTGACAAAGTAGGTTTTAATATATATGTTTATTTAATTTCCAAAAGTCCAACATTGTTTTTTAGAACAATATCTCTTTAGAAAAAAACATTTTTAAAAAACTGGGATCTATTCAGAAGGGAAAATTATTTTAGTTTGATGCAACTATTTGAATTTTTGAAAATGAAAATTTAGTCAGGTAGGTAATCAACCATCATTACAAACACTAAAAGAGGGAAATATAAACTTTTTAAAATCTGAAATTTAGTTAGTCAGGGAATAAAACATCATCACTATACCCAAACGTTGTAAATATAAAGTTTAAAATATTCATTTTAGTGTGGTAGGGAATCAACAATTGGTAAACATACATCAATCTGAGGGAAATATAAAAACAGGGATGTGTGGGAATGTGGGAAGTTGGAAAACAAAAAGATTGAGGCTGGAATCTTCAGGGTTCTTAGGGTGTTTAACAAATTTATCTTCAAGATATTGTTCTAAAGTATTTTTTTAAAAATGTGCTACTTTAAAATTGATGAAAAATGATTCTATATTAAATTGCAAAAATAAAAATGAATAGATGACAAAAATGTTTTCAGCCTCTTTTAATAATTTTCTAAAAGTTAGATACTTAGAAGCAAAGCAGCTTTTTTTTTTCATTTACAAATAAATCTTTTTGAGTGAAGAGGCTAAAAAAAAGGATGCAAAAATAACAAATAAATAAAAATGTTAAAACATTGGTTAGATTTATATTAGGTGTAAAGGCTTGGACAAGTCAAATCTAACACCAATTTTGTGTTTATTTACCCCATCAGATCCTCCCTGTAAGAAAAACGTGTTAGTATAAGTTGATAGTTAATTATCAGAAATAGGCAATAGTATCAACTTAGTTACACATTATAAAAAAGTACAAAAGGGAACTTAGTGTATAAACTTTAGAGCCTTTAAATTTAAGAGAATATTCTTATTTCTAACAAAAATTAGTTGTTGATTTTATTTTCATTATCTTTTTTTAAAAGGTTTAATTACATTATGATTTATTTGACAGCCATTTATTTATTAGGAGATCCAAAATGTTATAATTGCAGTTACCAATAAAAAATGTTTCTTTAAAATTTAATAAAAGGTGAACTGACAACTACAAAGTATCTGTTGTTAAATTGTTTAAAAACAGCTGTCAATTCAACACTGAATCAATTATTGAATTTTTTTATTATTTAATATCATTAGACAGTAATTATTTTTAAAAATTAATCCATTACAACATAAAAGCATATTAAAAATAACCAATAGCTAATTAAAGGGTTTGAAATAAATTTTGCAACAGTAAATAACTCAGCTACACTCAGCAAAGAAGAGAAAAAGAAATAAATTAAACATAACTAAAAGACATCTAAAAGTTAGTAAAACAGAAACACACAGAGACAAATGAGCCTTGTTAGTTTAATTTAAAAACAAAACTTTAAAAAATGATGGCACAAACAAATGGAACTACATTGCGGTCTTTAGGATGAACTCTCCCCTTATGTGTTTATTTGTTTTACTATAAAAACACTTTATTTTACTAAGAAAAATGGTTTTAAATACATAATAGTTTTTGGAATGTCTATGACAATAAAAAAAACAAGCAAAAGAAAGATTAAAAAATTAATAATGCTGTGTTTATTTTATTGTTTCTGCTATATTATTAAAAAATGAATTTTAATTTTCCTTATTTGCATGAATAAAATTAACATTTTTTAAACATGACAGACTGAAAACCTTTCACGGTGCTTGATAAAATAGTCAGTACTTACTAAGGAATTTTAACTTGAACCAAACCTTGATTAAGACTATAAAAAAATTCTTAAATGATCTATTATCTTATAGACATTAATTAATAATGCTCAACATATTTGACTGAAAATGATTATTTAAATTAATATCTATATCAATTTTTAAAACTGCTTTTATTTCCTAATTTTATTCTTTGTAGTGAAGTAGAAAATGACACGGTCACTGTGTTGTTTATTATGTAAGCTTTTTATTTCTAGTTTTATAATAAATAAATGCATTGAACTTTATATCACCCTTACATTTCTCAAGTACTGTATAAACTGTATTGGAATTAAGTTTGTTCATTTATAATGGAATTTTAAAATACATGTTGTGCAAGTTTTTATTGTGTGTCTGTGTGTTGCTACAAGACCGCAATAAATCTAGATGACTCACTGAACCAGGCACCTTTTCCGAGTCGCTCTTCTTGGAGATCTTGAAGTTGCGGCCCTTGGGCTTCAACCTCTCCTCTGCCTCCTTCTTCTTCTTCTCACGCTCATCCTTCACCCTGGTCTCCTCATCTTGCTTCTTCCTCCTTCTTTCTTCCTGTAAAGGAGATCACGCAAAAATAAACTCTTAAAAAGATATTAATAGATAATAATAAAAACATACAATAATACCCAAAAAAAATTTTTTAATAATTAAAAATGTCTTTAAAAAGGCTTAAAAAATTGACACCAAAATATATTCTTATATATTATACTGATTAATCATGTTGAGCCTACTTAAATATTAATTCAAAGGTGACTGGAAAGATGCGCAACGGAAAACTGCTCACATTTGTTTTCTTAAGTTAAGCATTTATAGACATTACAAATAGTGACTAATTGTACACTGTAGAATAACAAAACATGTTTCCATGAAATATAACAAAATTAAAGTGTAGTAGTATAATTAGTTTGCATTTGCATTTTTCTATTTGTGCAGTTTTCTGTTGCTCAGTTTTCCATTCTACAGTTTTCCAATCTCGCATTTTTCTGGGAACCAAATTCAACAGAATAAAATAATGTTTCTATCAACATAATCTAAAAGTCAATTAATTTTTAAAATTATCTTCTATTCTCTGTAGGCTAGTTGTGAAAAGTGTTTTCAATTTAACTAAATTAGCACCCTAAAGAGCCTGAGTTTAGCGCAAGACAATACATACTATGAATCTGAAAGTAACACTCCACCTTCATGTCTAGGATTTTAGAGTAATACTAAACTAAAATAAATTTAGCTTCAGTGTAATGCTGTACCCATCATACATTGGGTACCAATGTCTTAAATGTATAAAGTATCTGGTATTCTTACGATGTTCAGTTTCTACTGACCTCATCAGCCTTCCTCCTGACCTCCTCCTGAGCTCTGTACTCAGCCAGTCTCTTTTCTTCCTCAGCTCTTTCCTTCTGGCGCTGGATCTGTTCAACAACACCAACAATTTATTCACACACTGCAGTAATGATACACTAGAAGCTAACACTTATAAAGAAATAAGTTTACATTTTTTTTTACCTCAGTAATGATACACTAGAAACTAACACGTATTTAAAAAATAGGTGAAAAAATAGGTTAAAGTGTGAATATTTTTAAAAAAAATCCATTTAAAATTAATGCCATAATCTAGAGGTAGATAAAAATACAAACACATTTTTAATATTTTTTAATGTAAAAAATGTTACAGAATATATTGTCTTCTTGCAAAATTTTATGTTTTAATAAAAAATTACTAGAAATTAAGAAATCTCATGGTCCAAAAAAAAAATGTAAATAAAGATCCTGAAGGGAGAATTCACATACTCTTTTCTCCCTAAGGTTGCGGATCTCCTCCTCTTCCTTGACCTTCTCAGCCTTCCTCATCTCCTCGTACTCAGCTAAGTCAGCAGCTTGCTTTTCCAAGCGAGCTCTCTTGGCTTCCTGTCATTTTATACAAGAGCAACATGTCAAGGTCAGATATGAAATAGTTTCGAAACAAAATATTGTTAAAATAGAAATATATATATAATACATATATAAACACACACACACACACACACACACACACACACACACACACACACACACACACACACACACACACACACACACACACACACACACACACACACACACACACACACACACACACACACATACATATATATATATATATATATATATATATATATATATATATATATATATACTATGCATAAAGATACTATCAACATATATGTCTCATCTATAAAAAAATGTAACAATATTAAGGTTAAATAATAAAATAAGTACCTCCATGGCTCTCTTAGCTTCATTGGCATCATCCGCATTTCTGTAGAATTACAAAAGATTATTATAATAGCATTGTTCCTTGGTTTTCAAGTCATATAGTTTAGAAATTTTAAACTTACAAAAAACATGCTATGAATATGTTATTAAATGTATCAAAAAGATGGAGGCCTATTTAAAAATGTTAATAACATTTTGATTGATAAAATGAACAGATTTAAATACATTATTTTTTTAAAATATTTTATATCCAACTCCATATAAAATCATTCATTCAATCTATTGCATATATAAAGTTTAATTTGACCCTCAATATATACCGAAGCAAAAGATACATGAGAACTGGACATTAATGTTTTTTAAAATATACAAGAAATATTTCTGGAATTGTTTAAGTATAGCAAAACAACAATATATACACACACACACATATATACATACAACAACAATTTATAGGTGGGGACAAAAGAAATTATGAAATTGAATCATAAAACTTAATGAAAAAAATAGCTAAATTGATTTGATAGGTTTAAAATTATGCATGCAGTTTACGAACATAGTAAAACCAAATACATTTATAAAAAACAAAAATGCTAAACTTTAAAAAAAAATTCATCAAAATTATCTACTGACAAAATTGCGTAAATTAAAAAATGATCGTTGCTAAAATAAGAATAATTTAACGGAAAACAAAATGTGCACAGTATAGACTAGTGTGTCATAAAATGAAACATCAATCCGGCTACAGCTACTTGTAGTTAACTCACACAGGTGTTCCTCCCTCTTGGATTTCAGTTCTTACATCATCAACATCAGTGGATTATAAATAGATTGTCATATTAGTATTGTTAATTCAACATTTAAAAGAATTAATTGTTTAATACAGTTAAGAATTTTATTAAAAACAAGTATTATAATTTAAATAACAACATACAGTGAGTTAAAAAAAAGTGTAATTGTAAATCAACTTAAAATATTTAAAGAAAACAAGAAAGTTTAAAAATATTATATTCAGCTAATTTAAAACTAACTGGGTGGTGGAGCAGGTGACACCAATTATATTGTTTCTTAAATATAGTACCATTATTACAGCTAGATCATTCATTTTGCCTGATAAAGGATTTTTATAAAGCTAGACTGTTATAATTTACCATATTACAATTTGACTAAAGCTCGAAGTTTAAAAATTAAAAGTTAGTTGTCTTTAAAAAAAATGGTTAGATTACAACAACAAAAGCATTTTGAAAAGTTGTACAAATCATTTGACAATAAAACAAACATACCTGGCATAATAGCAATGATAGTGCACAAATAATGCAGCTGTTTAGTGCATTCTTATAGCTTTTTTTATAAAATATGTTTTCATACAAATTTCATTACCAAAATCTGGCCACTCATGAAGGCTATATTTCAAAAGTAAAATACTCTCTTTAGTGTTCCTTTTGTCCAACAAACATATGCATTGTGTTTTGTGATATTTTTTTTTTAGTTATCTTCATTTTTGTTTATCAATTTAAAAATGATAGATCTAATACTTGAAAATGAAAAATTGCACCAAAAAGCTTGAATTAATTATACAAGTTAATTTCAAACCAATTATGTGTTTTTTACTAGGTAGATTAAAAAAATTAATGAATAAGAAAATGTAATTGATTAATTAATAATAATATTGAAATCAACAACATCAAATTTCTGTCATTAATTTATAAGAAAAATTCAAACAGGTGAGTGTGAATTAATTTTGGACAACTGAGAACACTCTGCTTGACTTACTGGTCACCTCCAAACTCATGGGATCTCTCCTCATGGTGCTCCCTGAGCAAACAGGAAAATGTGGTGGCAATTATTGAGTCAACAATAGGTGTATGACCATTGGATTAGAATGTGATATTTGATTGTCTCATAGGATCTAGTAGCTGACTGAAGCATTAGCTTTGGGCTCAAGACTTCACTATGTTTACTGTCTTACTGTAGTATAGAATCTTAACAGACTGAGTTCAAATATAGAATCTATTCTGAATTTTGTGTTGGAAGAAATTTAGTTTTCAAAATTGTGAATCTAGTATAAAATGCTGTGTTTCTTAAAAGTTCCTGATCAATACCAATGATGAAGGCATATTTACTATTTAATGGACAGCACATTTAAAACTTGCAAACAACAGAAGTGTGCATTACAAAAAAAAATACATATGATTTTTCAGCAAGAAACAAATGCTTTCATTCAATCAAGCTACTGAGCTAAGACTATGACGTTACATTAACTTTAACACAAACATTTGATTGAATTTAATTATCATCCACAACATTGAACAGCCAAATAAACCACACAAAAAAACCATTAAAGAAGTGTGGGTGGGGGAAGATAATAAAGGTAGAATAGTCTCTGAATAGTTGATAAAAATAAAAATATCTGGATCTCGATTAAATCTAGACAAGATTATTCTAGCCTAGATTCTTGATCTCTAGAGAACTAGTACTAGAGTTAGATAATATTAGATATGATATAGAATATAGACTTAGATCTAGATCTAATTTCTAAATATCAGTTCATATCGGTTTTACTTGGTTGTTTGTTTGTTTAAGTTTTCCGAGAAAAGAATAGATTTCTATATAAAAATATAAATTATAGATTTCTATATAGAATCTACTAGTATATAATTATAAGGTAATCTATCGTTTTGGGTACGTAAAATCGCCCGCGATTTGTAATGTGAAAAACAGGTGACTCCTTAAATTTTAATAATTATTTCACATTTTGAGGAAGATTTATGTTTTAAAAAATTCAAAAATGTTTCCTTGATTCATTTATGTACCTGTTTTTAAACAATTGAATTAAAACTTTTCCGTAATAAATGAAGACAAACGATGTTTCCAACAGATGCAACCATGCTCATTTACTATAGCAGCCATCTTGTCTAAGTTTTATATTTATAAGCTTTTAGCGCCAGATTCAGGGGGAAGCCACTCTATTTTACAAATGGCTGCTGTTTATATAGCAAATCTTGCTCTCAGACACTGCTGTTTAAAGTTAATTTCTGGCCTGTATCGATATATTTAGCCATTGATTTAGGTTTATTATTCATTTATCTATAATATTTGACACACAAGTATGACAATATACTTCTATTAAAGCCTTGACAATGAGGTAACGTTTTCGTACATAAATAGCCGCGGGCGATTTTACGTACCCAAAACGATAGATTACCAATTATAATATAACACTTTTTTAAATTTTTAGTTACATTTCTAATTCTTGGCTTGTTCTAGTAATAAGTAAGAAGTAATACTACAGTACTAGTTGTCTGGTATCGACTATAAAATACAACATGGATCAGCATTGGCTGTGTGTAAAAATTTAAATACCCTTGCTCAACAGTCAAAATAAAAAATATAATCTACCTTTAGATCTACACAAGTTCTACATGTTCTAAAACTAAAGGGCTGCATAAAAAGAATAGATTTACGTGCAAAGTTTCTTCCAGGCATCTCTTCGGGGGGGGGGGGGGGGCACCCCCCGAAGAGATGCCCCCCCCCCCCCCCCGAAAATTTCAAATGCCCGCCCGGAGAAAAAAGTCTTGAAGAAACACTGTTTACGTGATCATGCTTTCATTGGTGATCAATCCACCATAACTCGATTTATGTTTTTCGTTTGTTCTCTGATGAGTCACTTCCCCTGACATAGATTATCTACATACTTTATTTTTTATATTCGTTTTTTCTTTTTTCTTTTTTTTTTCCTAGGGGGGGGGGGTGTCCATTAATGACATCACACTCATATGGAAGGGGTGTTCGGAATTTCGTGACGATTAGTTTGTGGGAAGGGGGAAAGGGGGGGGGGCAGAAAGCGCGAGGACACGCTATTGCATATAGTAAGTTTAGCAACAGATTTTCAGCCGTTATTACCAGTTTTTAAAAGTTGTTTTTGGAAATTGTAACTGAAATGTATTTATATATAATCAGCGTTAACTTAGTTCAGTAAATGTTTTTCACAAGAAATGGATGTTTTAAAAACAAAAAATGCAGTTTTGCTAAAGGCGGGAGTGAGGGGGGGGGGGGGTGGGGAGGGGGGGCTGTAGTCTTAAGTATAATATCACTTTTGGGGCGGAGGTTAGGCTTTCTGTGACGATATTTTACGATGGGGAGGAGGGGGGGATCTTCCAAAAAACGTGTCGTCATTTGTGGGTGACCCATTGATAAGTAAATTATTTATTAGATATGGTTATAAAGAAAAAACTGTTCGCGCTGGGCTCAGTCTATGAATACTTTAGGAATATCATGTATAAAATATTTAAAAATATATAAAATATAAACTCTACATAATGATCCTCAGTTAAAACATTCAGCCTGCACATTTGATTAGTAGATCAACCTTACAAAGAAGCTGAGATGTTAATGTGCAAGAGTTTTTGCAAGATGCACTAGGAAGAAAACATCAAAATATCTCAGAACTTTTCTAAATTCCCTTTTTATGTTTTCAGACCCTTATTAAAATTCTTAAACTTGCTTGAATCTACTAATAAGAAGCAATGGGCAGTGGCATGTTGTTTTATAAAATGCTATTAAGCGTGTGCTTCTTAGTGTGTGTATTTAATACATTATTATTGATTAGCAGTTGTTATTTATATGTGTGTAAAGTGTAGTGAGTTCTTTTGGTGTGTTTCTACTAGGCGTGTGCTAAAATATTTTGTTTACAAATGAATGTGTGTATGGTGTTCATTTATGCAAATTTTTTGCGTTGTTTTTTATAGTGTAGGCTCAATATGATTGGCATGTCAGTACCAGTAATGGACATTTTAAAAATAGCCTACGTGTGAGCTTATGTCTATATGTTTATGAGTCAAATTTATCTACGTTTATCTTTTATAGCTTCGAGTGTACAAACGTGTTTTTGTATATTATATGTACTGTATATTTATGTGTACATGTGTGTACATGCTGGCACAAGTATATCACAGCCCCACCCCTTTCCCTATGCACTATCATCAAAAGCCTATATCAAACTTCACCTAACACCGCACAACACATAGCCCAGGTTCTAGACTTCTACTTCAAGCCGGCTACAGATTTTGGCAGCGTAACAAAAAATGTGTAGGTAAATTAAAAACTAGGAACGGGAAATGGAGGGGAGGTGGAAGACACAGGAACCCAGCTAGAAACGAATAAAAAAAACTCGTTGCTACGGAAACGAGAATGCGTGTGCTGACTTACGCCGATGTAGACTCTTCCGCGGCCTGTGCTGGGGCTTCTCTAGAAAGGTGATCACAGTGAGAGAGTTAATGAAGCGACGTGCCAAAACAGTCAGCGTTAATGTTAATGATCGCATGTTAATGTCAATGTAAAATATTACTGCTGGATTATTTTAAGAATTATGTTAATGATTATGAAAAGTAAAAGCTTGTGTAAAATGTTTGTGTTAAAGATTATGTAAATGTTATGTTAAAGATAATTTAAAAGATTACGTTAAATATGCTATAGAAGGTTATGTTAAAGGTTATAATTAAGGTTATGAGGTTATGACAAAGTATATATGAATCGTTACGTGTATGACTTTGAGATAGATTATGTTAAACATGATGTTATACAGACTATTTAAATATGACAATGAGCTTGCCAAAGGCGAGTTTTTGCAGCATATTCCATTAATGCAGTAATGCCACAGGCCAAAGTTTTGAAGATAGTGTTGACACTCTGCCCTGGTGTGTGGTTAAGTTTAAAATATTTGTGAGTGACATGTTTTAAATTATCCGTTTGTGGGGGGGGGGGGCATGTTTTAACTTTATCGTTTATGGGGGCGCCACGTCTTAACTTTACAGTTTTTGGAGGGGCATATCTTAAACATGTTGTGTGTGCGGCGCTTTTAAAACATATCCCTATTATGATTGGGTCATGTCTTAGCTCTACTGTTTTTGGAGGGGCATATCTTAAACATGACGTGTGTGAGGCGCTTTTAAAACATATCCCTGTCATAATTGGGGCATGTCTAGACGTTACTGTTTGTCTACAACACAGTGTGTGACACGCTGCTCATAACGTGGCCATGTTATGAAAGAGGCGCGTTGTCTGAACGTCTTACTGTGAATTGAGTGAGGTGCAGCGCCCCTTGTTTGTGTCATTGAAACATGCGAAAGACACAGCGCCATTTGATTGTGTGTGGTAGATTAAGCTGTGTGCGCAAAGGCAACACTTCACTGACAATTGCAGTTATTGAAACATACGAAGGATATTGAATAACGATTAATTACGGCCCTTGTTATGCTTGCTTGATAAAACGGCCATTTTAATGTTATATTCATACACTGACCATTGTTATATTAGTTGGACAAAATGGTTATACGATGGCCATTGTTATGTTAGTTGGATAAAGTGGCCTGTACATCGTTGTGTTAGCATGATAAATTGGCCCATGTTAAGTTAGGTCAATGCAAGATTAAAATTAAATTAAGATTGTTGCGAAGAAACTTTTTCAGCCATTGATGTTAACGATATACTTTGTCACGGTATGTAGATAGAGGCCTACGAATTGCCGTGTCAAAATTAAATTAATTTTAATTAATACTTACTCCTCCCCGCCAGCCTCACTGTGGAAAAAAATTTAAAAAAAAATTAAATTAAATAAATAATGTTTATGTATTAAAATAGGGTCTTTTATTTTAAAAACATCTACATTTACAGGACGGTGAATAAATAGCAAAGTTGTGAAGTCTTCGCAGTAGCAATGTAAAAATTGAAATGACTTAAGTTCATCGAACTTATTTGTTTTCTACCCATAAACACATTACTGCTAAACTCTTCATTACTAAACATAACTCGATACAACACATTCATACCTTTGCTTAACACACCCTCATTACGATATAATCGAAAAACTAGTATTAGATCCAGTATTAATCCTAGATCTAACTCTGTTCTGCCAGACGGCTGTCAGACCACCAGTAGAGAACAATCAGACATACAACTACAGAAACGGATATGACGTCACGAGTGTGGTACTTACACGGTCTGTTCCTCTTCAGACATCTTGGTTCAGCGCGGCAATCTCTAACACCAGAACCTCAGGCAACCTGCACACACAAAGGTATCATTTCGTCAGAGTAAGTATAATTTCGTCAGAGTAGGTATAGCTTCGTCAGAGTAAGTATAGCTTCGTCAGAGTAAGTATAGTTTCGACAGAGAGGGTATAATTTTGTCAAACGAGGTATTTTGTTGTCAGAGTAGGCATAGTTTCGTCACAACAGGTATAGTTTTGTCAAACGTGGTATTGTTTTGTTAGAGTGGATATAGTTTCTTCAGAGTAGGCATAGTTTCGTCACAGCAGGTATAGTTTTGTCAGAGTATTTATTATTTAATCAGCGATTGGATAATTTAGCCAGTAGAAGTATAGTTAAGTCGGGATAGGCATAGTTTCACTTGAAGGTAATTTTTTTTTCTTAAGCAGACATTGTCTCACCACGTACAATCTAGCGTTGTGTATGTTTAGTAATGTGCCCTTAGGGTATGTACAGTTTAGCTTATAGTTTAGTTAATATCTGTAATGCTTCTTGTGATAAACTTTAGTTTTTCTTTCTACAATGTAGGTGTAGTTTGATTTTAAAAATGAAAGTATAATTTCATTACAGAAGGTTTAATTTCCTGTATGTTGATTGTTTTATTTATCTTTAGCCTTGTATAACAAACATGTATAGTATTCGGCTTTCGATTTAAGCAGAGAGAGAGGATATTTTCTTGAACATAAAATTAACTGTATCGGCCTAAATGGTTTGGGAAGTAGGAGAAGGTATTGTTCTTTTTAGAACATATTTTGTTCCTTTATCTAAGGTAAAAATTAATGTTTTTATTAACAAAAGTCGTTTTTATTCAAATACACCATGGGGTGTTTCGCTTTCCATCAATGTTATTAGCTGGTGGCTGTTATAGGCTGCTGTATTTTATTTTTAAAATTCTAGCAAATTGCAAATTAAAAAAACTATAATTAATATTGACAAAACAATACTCATCCCCTCCCCAAAAAATATAGATAAAATTAGCAACAGAGTTTCTTCCAGGCATTTCTTCGGGGGGGCGAAGCCCCCCCGAAAATTTTTTACCGCCTCCCCCCCGAACGAAATAAAATTTATATAATTTATATAGAAAATATATACTTTTAACAGTGTCCGCCCCCCCGAAGAAAGTCTACCGCCCCCCCGAAAATTTCAAGTGCCCCCCCGGAGAAAAAAGTCTGGAAGAAACACTGATTAGCAATGTTCGTGAACCCACCCAGGAGTACTGCGGTTCTAATTTTATTTCTTTTGTAGACAACTTTAAACCTCCCTAAAATTTCTGTAATTTTCTTCCCCCAAAACAATGTGTTTATGGTTAAAAAAGTTAACGTGTAAAATCTTTATAGATCTAGTAACAACAACTGGCCTAGATAAACTTCCATTTGCTACCCAAGGCAAAAGCATGTGAAAAGAAGAAGAAAAATTTACGCCCACACAAAAAGGGGAGACTACTCTAAATGTTTCACCTAACTGGACCAGCTGTTTTAGTGTGAGAGAAGAGACGGCAATGGGGGGGGGGGGGGGGGGGGGTAGTTAGAGGGAGATAATTATGTCATGTACACAGAGATAAATGAAACCTGAGTTGAGGTTCTTTGCTCCCTAGTCTGTGCCGGGTTAAGAATGCAATTTGTGTTTCTCAAATATACAAGAAAAAAAACGTCAATATAAATAGGGTAACCTAATTTTTAGCAGATGCAATAAAATATTTGTTACAAAACGAAATCTTTTCCGTTTAAGTTTCAGACTAAATACCTTTCATTTTAAGATATTATTAAATAAAAGCTTGTTATATTAAAACGTTTTTTATGATTTTCTTTTTCAGTATATAAGTTATCAGTATTAAGTGCCCGAATTTTCGCTCTAGACTGACGACTGAGGAAGCAAATTAAATTAAAGCTTAAATAAAAGCTTGTAAAAGATCGCTGCAAGAGAAGTGATCAGATTGTTGCAAGAAATGACCCCAAAACCCATCCACCCACATCCTGTTATTGTGCCCTTGTACAACCAGGTAAGGGAAACAACTTGTCACACTAGTTAATAGTTTTACGGTTTAACTTTAACTCAGTCAGCTTTCTTCAAGACTCTGCGTTTAAACCTGTCATACCAACCTCCTCCCCGATGATAAGTTTTAATTTTAAAGTTTAACTACATAATAAGCTTTAAAAAAAATTGAACGTTAAAAACTTAATTTTCCAATATTGGAAGCATTCTTAAATTCTAATTTTCTAGATTGTTCTGAATATTAGTTTAAAAAAATATGTTGTCTTATTGCAAAGGAAATACTTTTGTCACGTGTTTGAGTGATCATACAAAGAATACGCCTTTAGTAAACGTTATGTAAACTGTTTTTTTTTTCTTCATTTCACGTCCCTTCTCCCGTGTAGCAGGTACACATAGAAGTAACACTCCCTGTTCAGCTTTCCAGAACACCAAAGAATGCTGTGTATGCTTCGCTTTCTTGTAGCATAATTTCTTAGACTAGTTATTTTTAGACACGGTGAGCTGAAGCGAACATGGTTAACGCCAGGTAAGCAGTTTCAGCCCCCCCCCCCCACCACACGTTTTTGTGGGGGATATGTGTGTGTGTGTGTGTGTGTGTGGGTGTGTGTGTGTGTTTATCCCAGTTCTGTCAGGCAGGTAAAGTAGGCTTACAGTGACGTAGGCAAGCAATAGTTTTTAAAACAAATGCGATTCGCTCCCTTGTACTTGAATTATCGTTCCTGATCTTTGATCTTGGCATAAAGCAACTCATACCGATTTCTTTTTACTGTCGGTTTTGTTAAGCGAGCAGAAATATTTAAACCATCTTAAAATAGTCGATCTTTTACTTATCCAGAAAGAACATTATTGAACTCAATTTTCCTGATCAACAACCTTAGATTAATTAGAATCCCAAACAGTGTTAATGAACTTTGTTTTTTTTATATTTAGAACATAATTGAAACAATTACATCTACTCACTTGAATAAATGTTGATACGTTAATTTCAGTCTAACGGAATATGTTAAGTGTTGAAGGAGAAGGAGAGGTCATAATTATTGTACATATATATTTGTGACTTTATATATATATATACATATATATATATATATATATATATATATATATATATATATATATATATATATATATATATATATATATATATATACATGTACACCGCGTTTACACCTGAGACATCTATACTACACATGTCTAGTAAGTATACATGTTCCGTGGGGAAAATGTTTACATACAATATTAACTTGTTGCGAGATTTTTCTAGTGCAAACGGAGTATAATACACTTGTAATCTAAATATATTTACAAATATAAAATTAGATTTTATAGCTTAATTCGTATTCAAAACAATCAAGGAATATATATATATATATATATATATATATATATATATATATATATATATATATATATATATATATATATATATATATATATATATATATATATATATATATATATATATATATATATATATATATATATATATATATATAATATATATGTGTGTGTGTGTGTGTTTTGTGTGCGTGTTTTATAATATGTATCACCATCATTATATATAGATACATATATTTATAAACCAGAGTGTCATTACAACATAAATTGCGTATTAAATGTTACCTAGGCTAACTTATAACTCGGATATGATTTCGCTAAGCGCATTGACAATGAGAGAACAATGCTTAGGTTTTTATAGATAGACATCTTTTTGTAAGTAAATAATGATTTAGAATTTGCTATAATTTAATTTTTTGTTTTAATAATTTATAAAATTACAAATAAAACATTAATTTGGAAAATATGTTTAACCTTCTAAACGAATGTTGAATAACAGAATAAAAGATAAACTTAGATAAACCATCCTTTCAGACGTGAAACATAAGAACTCAAAAACCTTTCAAGAAATCAACAAATCCGAGAAATCAATACATAAATTTGGATAAAATCGATATAATCAGAACGTTTTTTCCCGAGGCTTGAAACAACTTACCTACAGCAGAAGTAAAATGGCAGCGGACACCGGTAGATGGCTGCGAACAACCTTGACATTGACACGAACCAATCAGGTTGTCGAGTTTAGCGAGCAAAATTTACATCAAATTACCAACACTGAGTTGCTGTTATTTTTACGTATGATTTAAATTAAATACTCACCTTTTGGAAATATTAAAATCTAAAACGTCTACACAGTCTAGGAAAGCACACGTGAGAAACGAAACAAACTAAAGGAGCTACAGTGTGTGCGAGGGCGCTAGTGTATCCGTGGTGCCGGGGGGGCTCTGGAACACAGGTGCACGGGCTTACCTAGAGTAGGACGAAACAAGATGGCTGCCCAGGAGATAAGCTGGAATGTTTCTGAGAGCGAGTGAGGGGGAAGAATGATGTTTATCGAAACACGCTCGCACACTGCACGTCCTCGGGATAGGCTCATTTTCGCCGAAAAGGGGAGAATGGTGTCTATTTTTAGTTAAATCTTAACCGGAAGTTTAAATCAAACTTGGAAAATAAAATCTTCTGGTAAACAAGGCAACAGTTTTTCTTAATATTTTAAAAAAAAAGGTAAAAATAAATTATATTTTTAATGCGGATTAATTTGAAATTGTTTATTTAGAAGAGGTTTATAAATATGATCAAACTATTTTTAGAATGGGCTAACCTGCGCGGGCGTCTGATCGCTGAGCCAGCTTCTAGCACCAGGCTTAGCACGGTGCATCCTTTTATAGTATGTACCTCTGTGCTGGGACACATTAGCGAACAGGCTAGAAGACAGAGTGAGAGAGTGGCAACACTCTGACATAGGGGTAGGAGAAAACCTACCTGTATTAACAACGTACGTCTCCTACTTTCAGTCAATCCGGTGAGGGATAAGTAAAAACAACAAATTTTCTGTTTCTCTTCACCTCACGGTGGGAGCTCATTTGGACGGAGAGGTGAAAGGTCAGCGTGGAGGTGGAGCTATTAACTCTGAAACTCAACAACGATCGCCTCTAAAAATAGGTTAAAAAAAAAACACTGGCGAATTAGCACTGGCTGGTGTGGTCGTTTCAAGTTACTCTGTCCCGACTTTTTATAAGTTAAATGGTCAGGCTTGTACCACATGAACTATATAGATGCGATATTTCTTTGACAAGCCGGTCATATATATATATATATATATATATATATATATATATATATATATATATATATATATATATACTACACATACATATATATACTACATATATTATATATCATACATATATATATATATATATATATACTACACATACATATATATACTACATATATTATATATTATACATATATATATATATATATATATATAAATATAAATATATATATATATAAATATAAATATATATATATATATATATATATATATATATATATATATATATATATATATATATATATATATATATATATATATATATCAGTAGTTTTACGATGCGTTGGAGAGGAGGTAGTTTTTGAACAACACTGGGTGACCTCAATCCTTGGATGATACAGCAGGGCAGCTGTTTATCCATCGATTGTGGCACATCTCACTATCTTGCTTTGGAAGCTTTACAAGAACATATATAAAGTTATTTTATTGACCAACCACACACATAATAATGTTATAGCCCTATCATTTAGGACCTGCTGATATAAACTCGAAAACAGTCAACTTTAATGAGCGCATGTTTGAACAACTTGGATTTACAGTATCATATGTGACCCGACCTTAAGAGACCGCTGTGATTACATCCTCTCATTTAGCTTAGCGAAAAATTGCCCTTTCTTATCTAGCTCAGATGAAGTAGAGTTCATCTGTTTATTGGAGGTTTGTGTTTGAAGTAATTTACAGATACTGCAATCAAATACATGAAGAATAAAATGTTTAAAATGTGGCTCCAGTTACGTTTTATCATGCTTTGTCAAAATGCGCTTAAACTCCTTCCTCTGGACTTGAAAAGGGATACAAATAACGATGCCAAACACGGCGATAATAGTGATGCATCCTAACAAGCGAGAAGCAAAGAGTTGTTGGTGAGGTTGTTTTATCATTTTGTTTGACACTTTCACATCCCCTCCGCACCATATTTTACCACCACCATGCAATCTGACATCACGCTGTCAATGTCACATTTTTAGTTTTTAAAAACAACAACTTTTTGGTTTCTACATCAACGTTCATGAGGTAAGTCAAGGATAGCAAATCAGTACAGCCAATATATAAACGATCTATGAGTCAAGCTTATATTTGTCTACATGTAGCCTACACGCCGACTGCGGTATATGAAATGTTATGGTGGAGTCGTGTAGCAGATCAGTATCTGGTTCTAGAACTTCTGACGTCCACTCAGCTCTATTGCGTACCTGAGAAAAAATTGCATCGTTCGCAAGTGGACAGATAAAGGTGAACTCTCCTTTATCTGCTACTTTGAATCGTCAGGCTAAAAAAGTTAATTTTACGTACTTTACATTAAAAGTAAAATGTTTAGGTAAACATAAATAGCAGTAAATTAAAAGTAGAAACATCGATAGGTTTATAACAACTCGACCTGAAATGTTGTTTTGTTATGCGCTTCTAACATAGAAAACAAGCTAACGTTGACAACAAAAACACGGCGGCATCATTCGAAGACCTGATAGAGGTCGCCACTGTCGATGTTACCTTGACATTTGATTGACTAGACTCCGGGGTTTTGTCAGTCTAGTAATTAGCTAACAAAACTTCAGCCAATAATTACATTACAAGCAATAAAAAACTTGGAACAGTTTCCTAGAATTTATTATCTTAATACGGATGGGTCAGTAATTTTTAGGTTGTCAGTTCTTTCACAAGTGTGTCATTCATTTCACAGGTATCGGTAATTTCACAAGTGTGTCAGTCAAGCAAAGAGTGTGTCATCATGCTACACATGAAGTCGGTCATGTTTTAGTGTGTCGTGCATGTTACCAGGTGTGTCACTGGGCCGTTCCCGTCATCACAAATCATGACGTGACATCACTTCCTGTTGATATATTTACTACGGCTCCTGTTTTCTAACTAAATCGTATCGTCCGTTTGACGTCATCAACGCGTAAAACTGCTCTTATCTTGTTTCAGATACAGCAGCTATCATTCGTAACATACAACATACAACAGTTACTCTTCATAACAAGATACTGCAGTTACCGTTCCTAACATGATAAAGCAGTTACCGTACAGCAGTAACAGTTCCTATCCGATACAGCCTTTACCGTGAGTCACTGGATACAGCAGTTACCCTGCATAGCATACTACAGCAGTTATCGTTCTTTCACGATACGAAATTCACCGTTCCTTACTTAATACATATTAAGCTACGGTTCCTTACATTCCACGTAAAGAACGGTTCCTAACTTAATGCTGCAGTTACTGTTCCTAATTTAATACTGCAGTTACCGTTCCTAACTTGACACAGCAGTTACCGTTCCTAACTTGTACAGCAATTAACGCTCCTAACCTGATACAGCAGTTACTGTTCCTAACCTGGTACAGCAGTTACCGTTCCTAACCTGATACAGCAGTTACTGTGCCTAACCTGATACAGCAGTTACTGTTCCTAACTTGTACAGCATTTACTGTCCCTAACATGATAGGTCCTATGCGTCCCCCACACCATTCTTATCCAGAGCCGGCGTTAGGGGTACGCGGGGCCTATGGCCAACCATCCGCGCGAGGCCTTTTATTTTTTTCATTGGTGCATAATTAAATAAAACATGTACAGTAAGGCGTTTTTTTTTTCTTCTCAACGCGAATTAATATTTATAACGATATATATGGTATTTTTAAGCTGTTTATCAATGTCGTATTAACATTAAAACACTGATTAACAAATAATTTGTTTACTTAGAAGTGCTTTTGAAACGTTGCTTGTTAAGGCTTTTTGTTTGAAAAGTAAAAAATAAAACAGATATAAGTTTGAGACACGCATTAAAGTATTAAAGAGACGATGAACGTCAGCTTCAAACCTGATTTTTTTACATTAATGTTTATTTATGAAAATCTTACCAGTACGTTCACAAACGAAGATCTACTTTTCTTGCCTTTCGTGAGGAAAATTCCATGATTATATCATCATAGTCCAAACTGGAGGCTATGTCTTTTTCTATTGACAGAATCGACAGGCCGCAGAGCCTGTCTTTGGACATCGTTGACCTCAAATAGTTCTTGATCAACTTCAGTTTGGAGAAACTTCTTTCGGCGCTTGCCACTGTGACTGGAACTGTTAGCAAGATTCTGTTGGCGATCGCCGTATTGGGAAAGGAATCCCGAATACTCCAAATGTACTGAAGGCACTGTTTGGCTGACTTAATACCTTCGGGCAAAATTTCTCGAAACATTGTGAGCTCTGTACACAAATCTGCCCCGTTTAAGTCACGTGAGCTCACCGATCGCAACGCTATATCAAGATTTATGCAACTTTTTAACAAATCCTCATTATTTAATTTTCTCGTTGTGTTTATGTTGTAGAGAAACCCAAAGAGTGAATCGTATTGTCGTAGCTGTTCAAATCGAGTGTTCATCTGTTCTAAACTCATCTTCACCCGATAACGTGCTTTCATCTGTACTCTCATATTCAAATTGTCTTTTTCTTTTTCTGCTTCTTTTCTGTTTGAATACTTGATCCACATCCATTGCTTTGGCAATTTCTTTTGCAGTAACCATGGCAGAATTAAAACCATTTTCCCGATAATTTGTCAAGTAGGTGACGAGTCCTTTAATTTGCTGTATTGCTACATCAAGTTGCATATCGGCTGATTGTAGCGATTTACTTACAGTATTAACTGCGAATAGGATGTCATACCAAATGATCACAGCAAGGATGAATTCAAAATTTCCTACTTCAAAATTAGCAAGTGATTCTGCTTCGGCTTTTACCATAGGGTCCTTGGACTCACCTGATACAGTGAAAAGGGCTTCATTTATTTCGCTTATTTGGTAGCGCAAAGCTTTTACACTCTCTGAACGGCATTCCCATCTTGTGTCTGACAGTGATTTTACTGTGATGTAAGGCACAGCTTCTTCCAAAATCAAAAGATTTCGGAATAAGCTCGAATCGTGAAAAACACTGTTTACGGCTATAGATATCCAAATGAAATGACTCTCAAATGTAATCACGGACGCTCAGTAAGGTGGAACACTGGGGGGGGGGGGGGTGACAGTTGGTGGGGTGAGGTGAAGGATAACTGTACACTTAAATTTATGGGATGCCAAACCCTTAAAAAAAATCAGTTCGGGTACAATGTTACTGGATCTTTGACCGCAGCCATTCAAGGGAAGG